TACCAGGAGTTCACTGATCACCTTGTGAAGACCCACAGCAGAGTCTCCATGCAGAAGACCCAGACTCCAGCCATGGCAACCACATAAGAGGCTTTGATAAAAGAGAAATAAAAGTGAATTCAGCCTGGAAAAAAAAAAAAAAGGGAGGATGGCAAAACTTCATCTTATGTACTTTGGGCATGTTATCAGAGGGACCAGTCCTTAGAGAAAGACATTATATTTGGTAAAGTAAAGCGTTAGTGAAAAAGAGGACGGCCCTTAACAAGACAGAATGACATAGGTTCAAATTTAGCAATGATTATGAGAATTATGCAGGACTGGGCAGTGTTTTGGTCTGTTGTATATAGGCTGTGGCTGTTGTTGTTATGTGCCACGGAGTCGATTCTGACTCATAGCGACCCTGTACAGGGTTTCCGAGGCTGCAAATCTTTACAGGAGCAGAAAGCCTCATCTTTCACCCACGGAACAGCTGATAGTTTAGAACGGCTGACCATGAGACTAGCAGCCCGATTCATAACTACTATACCACCAGAGCTCCTGTATATAGGGGTAACTACTAATAAAAACTGAGTCAGAGTCACCTAAGAGCAACACTGAAGCAATATTGCAGGGGATAGAGTTCCTGTCCCCTGGACTATCAGCTGTAACCCTGGCAATAGTTCAGGACTCTTAGCCTCATATAAAGGCATCTTTGTCACTACTGTTTCCCAAGTGTGCTCTGGGTATACACCCATTTTATCTTCCTTGTTGACAATTTTGTGAGCATTTCACATGTAATTAACATGATGACTGTTGTTTTATTTTGAAGAGTAGTTGGAATATGCAGAAGCATGCCTGATTATCGCTAATCCTTTGTGCAGTGATTCATATGTTGAAGACACTTCGAACATCATGAGGTAAAAAGCTCTCACTTTTATATGTTCCTGTGCTTTTTGCTTTTTCCTAACTCTATTAAAATAAATTTCAGTACATAGGACTCGTGGTGGTGGTGGTGTGCTGTAGAGTCAATTCTGACTCATAGTAACCCTGCATAGGATCTCTGAGGCTGTAAATCTTTACAGGAGCAAAAAGCCTCATCTTTCTTCCATGGAATGGCTTGTAGTTTCGAACTGCTGACCTTGAGGTTAGCAGCCCGACTTGTAACCACTACACTACCAGAGAGCTCCTTATAACATAGAACTAAAGGTAAGAAAATATTATATATCATAAGACTAACCCAAACCAACACCTAAAAAGCATTTAAAAAAAAAACCTTAAGTGCATTGCTATTGAATTGATTGTAAGTAATGATGGGTGCCCCATATGTTATAGAGTAGATCCACTTCATAGGATTTTCTTGACTTGTATTCATTTCAAAAGGAGTTCTCCTGTGGTAGTGGTTGGGCATCTGGTTGTTAACTAAAAGTTTGGTGGTTTAAATCTACCTGCCTTTCTGTAGGAGAATAATGTGGTAGTCTTCTTCCGTGAAGATTCACACCCTTGCAAACACTGTGGGAGATTTTCTCTGTCCAGGTGTGGTGCTGTGGGTTAATGTGCAGACTGCAAAGCCATTTGAACCACAAAGGTCAGTGGTTCAATCTTACCAGCTGCTCCTAGGAAACCTTATACAGGGTTGCCATGGGTCGGAACTGACTCGACTGCACTTCACAACAACAGCAAAGAGGGTCACTAAAAATTGATATCAACTTGACATCAATGGATTTTTTAATTCTTATGGAAGCAGAGAGTCAGTTCTTTCTTTTATGACACTTATCTCTGGGTTAATACCCACTGTCACAGAGTTGATTCCAAATCAAAGCGACCCTAACTAGGATTACTGATCCAATAAATATTATAGGAGCAGACAGCCTCATAACCCTCCCACAGAGAGGCTAGTCGGTTTGAACACCAATCTTGTGATTAGCAACCCAATAACTAACTCACAGCTTCACTACGGTCCTTTCTGGCTTAATAGAAAAATATAAATCATTTGTGTCATAAAGGTTCACACTAATCCAGGTGCATGCATATAGTTCTGTCTTCAGAGAATGTGCAGATAGATCAAAAGCTAAAATGGAATATCCTGCATGTACTCAGATATGCACTTTCCAATAAATTCCCTGAAGTATACTAGCTACCTGTATTTTAAAAGCGAGCGTTCAAATAACGTATCACTATTCAGATAGTGCTGTTATAACTAAGATTATTGTAATGATAATGGTTTTTCCATAAAAAATTGTTAGTGTGATTAGTTGCTTTTAGGTGTCATTGAGTTGTTGCTGACTCATGGCAACCTTGGGAACAATAGAATGAAATATTGTCTGGTCCTGTGCCTTACTCAAAATCATTATTACATTTAGACCCATTGCTGCTACTGCTATGCCAATCCATCTCCTGGGGAGTCTTCCTCTTTTTTTGCTGTCCTTGCACTTTACCAAGCTTGAGGTCATTCTCCAAGGACTGGACCATCTTGATAACATGTCTGAAGTGTGAGAGAGGCTGTTTCATCATCCTGCTTTCTAAGGAGAATTCTGGCTGTATGTTATGTTAACTACACATATCTATTTATTCTTCTGGTAGTCCATGGTATTTTTACTGTTCTTCTTCAACACCATAACTCAAATGAATAAATTCTTCTAGGATCTTCCTAATTTGCTATACAACTTTCACATGCATATTAGGTTACTGAAAATATGATGCCTTGGCTCAGGCACACCTTAGTCCTCAACTGACATCTTTGCCCTTGAATACTTTAAAGAGGTTTTGTGTAGCAAATATGCCTAATACAATATGTTGTTTGATTGCTTCTTGCATGAATGTTGATTGTGGATATAAATAAGATGAAGTCTTTGACAACTTCAATCTTTTCTCCATTTATCATGATGTTATTTACTGGGCCAGTGGTGAGAATTTTTGTTTCTTTACATTGAGATGCAACACATACTGAAGGCAGTGGTCTTTGATCTTCATCAGTAAGTATTTTAAGTCCTCTTTGATTTTAGCAAGCAAGGTTGCATCATCTGTGTATCTCACTTTGTTAATGTGACTTCTTCCAATCCAACTGCCATGTTCTCCTTCATATAATACAGTTTCTTGGACTATTTGCTCAGCATTCAAACCAAATAAAATCTTAGTGCACAATGTTCATGATTTTATACTATTCAGTGTCTCCTTGCTCATTTCAAATGACTGCCTCTTGGTCTATGTACAGGTTCTTCAAGTGCACAATTTAGTGCTCTAGAATACTCATTCTTCACAATGTTATCCATAGCTTGTAATAATTCACACAGTAGAAAACCTTCACATAGACAGTAAAACTCAAGTAAACATTTTTCTGGTAGTGTCTGCTTTCTGTAATGATCCATCGGATGTCAGCAATGATATCCCTCATTCCACATCCTTGTCTGAATTCAGCTTCAACCTTTGGAAATTCCCTGTCAATGTTCTGTTGCAGCTGTTTCTGAATAATCTTAGCAAAATTTCACTTGCATGTGATACTAATGACGTCTAATGATTTACACATTTCATTGTGTTACCTCTCTTTGGGATGTGCACAAATATGGATCTCTTCCAATCAAATTGTTCTTCTAAATTTTGGTGCAGATGAGTGAATGCTTCCAGTGCTGCATCGTTTTGTTGAAAGGCTTTTATTTGTATTTCATCAGTTCCCAGAGTCTTGTTCTTTACCAATGCCTTCAGTGTACTTTGTATTTCTCCCTTCAGTACCATTGGCTCTTGATCATATGCTACCACTGTTACAAGCTGAACATTAGCCATTTCTTTTTGATACAGTGACTGTGTGCATCCTTCTCATCATCTTTTGATACTTTCTGCATCATTCAATATTTTGCCCATTTTTTGTTGTTAAGTGCCATCTTGTCGGGATCCAACTCATAGCGACCCTGTACAGGGTTTCCAAGGAGCAGCTGGTGAATTAGAACTGCCGGCCTTAGCGGCCCACACCGACATTGCAGTTTACCGCATTAACTGACAATGTTAAACCAGAAGTATTTTGCCCATAGCATCCTTCAATGTTGCAATTGAGGGTTGAATTTTTTTCTTCAGTTCTTTCAGCTTGAGAAACGCTAAGTGTGTTCTTCCCTTTTGGTTTTCTAACTCCATGTCTTTGCATGTTTCATTATAATACTTGAGTTTGTCTTCTGGAGCTGCCCTTTGAAATTTTCTGTTCAGCTCTTGTGTCTCCTCATTTTTTTCAATTTTTAGCAACTCTACACTGGAGAGTTATTCAAAGTGTATGCTGAGCTAATAATCCAAGAAGCTGGGTTATATGAAGTGGCATCAGGATAGGAGGAAGACTCATTAACAACCTGTGATATGCAGATGATACTAATGAAGATCAGAGACCTCAGCCTTAAGTATGGATTACATCTCAATGTAAAGAAAACAAAATCCTCATCACTGGACCATAAACAACATTCTTATCAGTGACGAAAAAATTGAAGTTGTCAAAGACTTCATTTTTCTCAGATCAACCATCAACACTCATGGAAGCAGCAGTCAAGAAATCAAGTTTTGTATTGCATTGGACAAATCTGCTGCACAAGACCTTTTTAAAGTGTTGAAGAGCAAAAACTTTATTAAGTTTTGAGGACTAAGGTGCACCTGACTCAAGCCAGGGTATTTTCAGTAGTTTCATATGCATGTGAAAGTTGGACAGTGAATAAGGAAGACAGTAGAAGAATTGATATGGTTGAGTTATGATGTTGGAAGAGAATATTGAAAGTGCCATGGATTGCCAAAAGAACTGATAGATCTGTGTTGGATGAAGTACAGACATAGTACTCCTTGGAAGCAAGGATGTCTAGTCTTCGCTCTCATATTTCCACATATTGTCAGGAGGGACCAGTCGCTGGAGAAGGATATCATGTTTGGTAAGGTGGAGGGTCAGAGATAAAGTGGAAGACCTCTCAGTGAGATGGATTGGCCAAGTGGCAGCATTAGTGGGCTCAAGCATAGCAACAATTGTGAGGTTGGCCCAGGATCAGGCAGTGTTTCGTTCTGTTGTGCATCGGGTCACTATGAGTTGGTACCAACTCAATTGAACCTGATAACAACAACAACACTGGAGAATAAGTTTCAGAGTATCTTTTGACATCCATTTTGGTCTTTTCCTTCTTTTTTGTCTGCTTAATGACCTTTTGTTTTCTTCCTATATGATATTCTTGATGTCATCCCACACCTCTTCTGGTCTCTGGTATTTAGTATCAAATCATCAAATCTGTTCTTCAGATGATCTCTAAATTCAATTGGCATATGTTCAAGATCATATTTCCACACTCAGGTATTTGTTTTAATTTTCTTCAGCTTTAGCCTGAACATTCGTATGAATAATTGATAGCCTGTTCCACAGTCTCCCTCTGACTGTGTATGGTTGATGATGTGGAGCTCTTCCACTTTCTCTTCCCACAGATGTAATCAGTTTGATTTCTATGTATTCCATCTGGTGATGTCCATGTGTATAGTCATCTCTTATATAATTTTGAAAAGGCATTTGCTCTGAATAAATTATTGGTCTTGAAAATGTCTATCATGTGATCTCCAGCATCATTTCTATCACCAAGGCCATAATTTTCAACTACTGATCTTTTATTTTTACTTCCAACTTTTGCATTCTAGTCAACACTAATGACCAATACATTTTGATTGCATGTTTGATCAAGTTCACACTGAAGAAGTTTATAGAATTCTTCAATTTCATCAATACTGGCTTTAGTGTTTGGTGCATAAGTTTGAATAATCGTAGTGTTAACTGGTCTTCATTGTAGGTGTATGGATATTACTCTATCATAGACAGCATTATATTTCATGATAGGCATTGAAATGTTCTTTTTAATGATGAACGTTTTGTCACTCCTCTTGAATTTGTCATTCCCAGCACAGTAAACTATATGATTTTCAGATTCAGTATGGTCAATTTCAGTCCATTTCTACTTATTGATGCCTAGGATATTAATCTTTATGTATTCCATTTCATTTTTGACAACTTCCAATTTTCCTAGATTCATCCTTCATACTTTCCATGTTTTGACTCTTAATGGAATGTTACAGCTATTTCTTGCCATTTTGAGTTGTGCCCCATTAGCAAACTAGTGTCTCAAAACTTTAATTGCTGTATGTTAAGGTGGCAGGTCTCCCTTAGTTTTATTTTGAGTGCCTTCTAACCTTAGGTACTAACCTTCTAGCACTATATCTGACAACATCCTTGTTCTAGTCATAATACTTCTATATTCAATATTCTGGTGCCATCTGATAGTGTTCCACTGCTATTCATTAGCTATTCATTTTCAATGGCTAAACATTCAGAAGTAGTGTGCCTCTCCTACTTCCTAATGTGTGTTAGTCTGTAAGCTCAGTTGAAGTCTGTCTACCATGGGCAACCCAGCTGTCATTTCAAATACTGGTTACATAGCTTCCAGCATCATACCAACACACAAGCTACTACAAGATGACAAATTGACAGATAAGTCGTGGAAATTTTTATTAGTAGACTTCAATTATTAAGGGTTTTAATTCCTTCAATAATGATGAAGAAAAATTGCTCACAGTTCAGTATGTTGTGCATGAGATCATTAGCAAATATTTTCAAGATGACCAGAGTTAGTGTTACCATTTTAAATTGTAGACTACCTATGAGCAGTAACTTGACATGTAATAAGTATTAAGTGTATAATTATGATATTAATAACACTGTGCATAACCCAGATGAATTTCTTGTTCCCAGAGGCAAATAAACACACAGAGTTGTAGATAACTCAACAAAGAGTACGAAACAACTTATGAACTTGCTCCATGTGCCAAGCAGAAATTAGAAATCTCAGTGTCTTAATTTATAAAATGAAAAATTTGGAATCTGTATAGATTAATTTATGGGCTACTTCAGTTTATAGATATAAATACAATCTCTATTATTATTTCCTGTAAATCGTATGAACTGCTTATTTCCTCCAACAGCATGGACCCAAAAGATCAGTCTCCTAATTCCAAGAGCTAAGCTTTTCATATGTCTGGTTTGCTAAATAATGAAAATAATAGCACACTGCTGTGTGTGCTATTTGTAGAAAACAATGTAATAGTAAACTTTAGAATATGCTAAGCTTTCCTCTAGTTACTCACACATCAATTTAACTCTAAATATAATTATATTGCAAAGTCATTTGGAAATGACACAAAATGAATGAACATATTTATTGTTCATGCAGGGTGCTTTCTATCAAGAACTATTATCCTCAGACCAGAATCATCATACAGATACTTCAGTCCCATAACAAGGTATTGTAATATTCTAGCCTCTCCAAGTTCCATCTCATTTATCCTATAAAGCTAGATGAACCTTACTATTTTTAATGTGTCTAAATGAACATTTTTTTTTTTTTGCCAATTGTAAGTGAAATGTGTAATCACATTAAAATTGTTAATCATGTTAAGAATGTGAATTTGGAAAAGAATTAGGGATCTGTGACATTTGACTTAACCTTGCAGCTTTCACTGATCTTGTAGCTTTAGCAGTTTATATATTAAAAAGTGGGAAATTTTTACCACAAAAAAAAAAAAAAAAAAAGAAAGAAACAATACCCAAACCCCAAACTTATTGAAATCCAGTTGATTTTGACTCATGGTGACTCCATATATAGTACTATGGTCCATAGAATCTTCATGTCTGTGGCCTTTCGGTAGCAGATCACCTGGCCATTCATTTGAGGTGTTTCTGGGTGGTTTCAAATTGCCAACATTTTAGTTGATTGAGCATGGAACCAATTCTATCATCCAGGGATTCCTATTTGACCACTAACTAATTTCAAATACTGAATTTAAATTTGAACCTATCACTTCCATTGTAATGGGCATTACCGTCATGGCAAGAAGTGAAGACTAAAAGATAAATTATATGAAAGAAAGCCATCTCTGCAGTAAGAGCTTTGTTGAGGCTTGCTTATCCCTAATGGTGTTGCTTTCCATAATGAAACAGGTTTATTTGCCAAAGATTCCCGGTTGGAATTGGAAAGCTGGGGACAACATAATTTGCTTTGCTGAACTGAAGCTTGGATTTATCGCCCAAGGCTGCCTAGTACCGGGCTTGTGTACCTTTCTAACCTCTCTATTTGTTGAACTCAACAAAAAGGTAACCTTGTAAGTTGATGTCTGATCATACCTCTAACTCTAAGTCTTCAAATATTAAGATCAGAAATAGAACAAAGAAAAATTTTAAAAAAGATTAGGGCAAGAAGACCCAGGACATGAATTTGATGAAATTGGACATTTGATTTTAGTAGGAAAGAGAGATTTAGATAGGAACTTCAGGTACTACATTGATGTTAAAGAATTCTGGTAATGTAATGGGTTGTGAGCTGAGTAGCTAATCGCAAGGTCAGTGGTTTGAATCTACTACTTACTTCAAGAGAGAAAGATGAGGCTTTCTGTTCCTATAAAGATTTGCAATCTTGGAAACCCTATATAGGGATCACAGTAAATTGGAACTGACTCAACAACACACCACAACCACCACAATGATCTTGCCCATAACTCACACTTGTCTGAGTTTATCATGCTGTGGTGACTAGTGAGTTGCTGGAAATTATGCCACTTGAATTTTAAATACCAGAAGGGTCATCCATGCTAGACAGATTTCAACAGAGATTCCAGATTAAGGCAGATTAGTGAGAAGGAAAGAGAAATGCTTATTGAAAGATTAGCCATTTAAAAACTGGCTAGCTGCTGAACATTATCATATATAGTGCCATAAGATGAACCCCCTCAGTTTGGAAGGCACTCAAAAAAATGACTGAGAAAGAGCTGCCGCCTGAAAACAGAGTTGATCATAATGATGTGGATCGAGCAAAGTTTTGGAGACTTTCCTTTGCTGATGGGGCACAACTCAAAAAGAGAAGAAATAGCTGCAAACTTCCAATAATAATCAGAATGTACGAAGTATTATTCTAGTTAACTTGGAAGTCATCCAGAATTAAATGGAACACATAAAGATGCTAGGCATTTTGTTGTTAGGTGCCATCGAGTTGGTTCCAACTCATAATGCTGCCTGGTCCTGTATCATCCTCAAAATGTTTTATTTGAGTCCATTTTTGCTGCAACTTGTTAGAGGTCTTCCTCATTTTCATTAACCCTCCACTTTACCAAGCATAATGTTCTTCTCCAGGGACTGACCCCTCCTGACAACATGTCCAAAGAAGGAAGGAAGTCTCCTCTTCTTCACTTTTAAGGAACAGTCTGGCTGTTCAACCATAAAGACAGATTTTTTTGTTCTCTGATAGACTTTGGTACTTTTAATATTCTTTAACACCATAATTCAAATTCATTGATTCTTCAACGGTGTTCCTTATTCATGATCTAACTTTCAAAAACATGGTGGTGGTGTGCCGTGGAGTCAGTTCTGAAACATATGAACCCTGTATAGGGTTTCTGAGGCTGTAAATCTTTATGGGAGCAGAAAACCTCATCTTTCTTTCATGGAACAGCTAATAGTTTTGAACTGCTGACCTTGGTGCTAGCAGCCTGACTCATAACCACTAAACTTCCAGAACTACTTTTCATAAACATTGCTGTTGTTGTTGTTGCTAAGTGCTGACCCACAGTGACCCTGTAATGGGTTTCCGAGGTGTGACTAGTGAGCTTGAACTGCTGACCTTGCAGTTAACGGAAGTTGCAGTAAAACAGCGCATCAGCCTAAAGCACCACACCAGAACTCCATTTCACAACCATAGGAGGCTATTTAAGATACCATGGGTCAGGCACACCTTAGTCCTCAAAGTAACATCTTTGCTCTTTAAAACTTTAAAGAAGTCTTTTGCAACAGATTTGCTTAATGTCCTATGATTACTTGACTACTGCTTCCTTGAGTGTTGACTGTGGATCCATGAAAAATGAAGTCATTGATAATTTTACTCTTTTCGCCATGTATCTTGATGTTATTTATTGAATCAATGTGAGGATCTGTGATTTCTTTACACTGAGGTGCAATCCATAGAGAAGACTATATTTCAACTCCTCTTTACTTTCAGCAAGCAAGCTTGTATCATCTGCTTATATCAGATTGTTAATGAGTCTTCCTCCAATCTGATGCCACATTCTTCATATAAACTAGCTTCTTGGGTTATTTACAAAGCATACAGATTGAATAAGTATGGTGAAAGGACACAACCCTGGTGCACATATTTCTTGATTTTAAACCATTTAATATTCTTTCATTCTGTGCTAACAACTACCTCTTGGTCTATGTACAGGTTCTTAATTAGCACAAATAAGTGTTCTGGAATTACTATTCTTCTCAATATAATCTATAATTTGTCATGATCCACACAATTAAATGTCTTTGCATAGTCAATAAAACACAAATAAACATCTTTCTAGTATTCTCTGCTTTTATTGACATCAGTGATATTTCTGTACCACATTCTTTTCTGATTCCAAATTGAATTTATGACTACTTCCATTCGATATACTGTTGCAACTCTTTTTGAGTTATCATCAGAAAATTTTACTTCCATATGATAGTAAGGATATTTTCCATTGAATTTTTTTTTAAAAAAATATTTTTAAAAAGGGTTACCTTTCTTTGGAAAGAGCAAAAATATGGATCTCTTCCAGTCCGTTGATAAAGTAGCTATCTTCCAAATTTCTTTACATTAATGAGTGAGTGACTCCAGTTCTATATCAGTTTGTTGAAAGATTTCAATTTGTAGTCCATCAGTTCTCTTGTATTTTGCCAATGCCTCCAGGGCAACTTGGAGTTCTTCATTCAGTACCATTCATTCATGAAATGGTTGAGCATCAACCAATTCTTTTTGATATAGTGGCTCCCTCTCAAAATGGTTGAGCATCAACCAGTTCTTTTTGAAATACTGACTCTATGTTTTCTTTTCATGTGCTTTTGATGCTTTCTGCATCACTCAATATTTTACCCATAAAATCCCTCAATATTGCAAGTTGAGGTTAAATTTTTCTTCAGTTATTTCACCATGAGAAATGCTTAGTGTTATCTTCCATTTTGTTTTGTTAACTCTAAATCTATGCATGTTTCATTATTATACTTGACTTTGTTTTCTCCAGCTGCCCTTTGAAGTTTTCTGTTCACCT